GGGACCCCACTGGTGCCTGGAACATCTCCCTAGCAACCATGAAGCACCTTGTTATGAGGGATGATAATCACAACTTCCCTAGCAACTGCAGTGTCCGACAATTTAGAAGGGACCATCCTTGGAGGCTTCTCTGAATATACTGAGGTTGGTTGCTTAAAGGACTCATTGCTTAGCAACCATAGCCCTTCAAGGCTTTTCATGGCTGTGGCAGGCCCCATTAGGTACAAAAAGAAGAAGAAGCCCATTGTCAGTGAACTGTACCACCCGGCCCACCCATCGTCCTCCCCTACAGGCACCCTCTGGGCCACCCTCCCTTGTTGCCCTAGCAAGTCTGACAGCCAGAGGGCCATTGCCTGGCCAGGATCCCTTCCTTAGCATCCAGGGCTGGGACTCTAGCAGGCGTCGGGAGGGGACCTGGCTGAGCTGCATGTCTGTCCCCCCTCATCCTCCACACCCCAGTCCGGAGAAGGTGGCTTCCCTGGAGTATGACTATGAGACCATCCGCAACGTCGACTGCTACGGCACAGATTTCTGCATGCGGGTACGCGATGGCATGCGGTACTGGAACATGACGGTACAGTGGTGGCTGGCGCAGTATATCTACAAGAGCGCACCTGCCCGTTCCTATGTCCTGCAGTGAGTGAGTCCCACCAACCTCAGGTGACACTGCAGAACTACATCACCCAGCAAGCCCCAGGGTAGCCTGCAGCTTCCCTGGCTGGGCTCCTGCCCCAGAGGCTCATGGGAGTTGTAGTTTGTTTAGCCTGGTTTTGCCCTGCCTCTGATTAGTGGCAGCATGCTGGTGTAAAACCATTTCCCCTCTCTGGGACTCAGTTTCTACTTGTGTAAAGTCAGCCTCACTTGACAGAAGCAATGTACTGAGTCCTCTGGACTCAACAGCCAGCCTTCCTGGAATCTTGGCCATCCAGGTTATGGAGAAACCTTGAGGAGTTAGTTGACCTCTTAGTTGCCTCAAGTGTTAAATGGAGTTAATGCTATTTATTACTGGTTTCATAGGTAGATAGAAGGACTAAATGCGATAAAATGTGAAATGTATTTAATGTGAGGCCTGACAGGTAAGTGCGTGCTACATATTTGTTTTTATTGTTTTTCATTTTTCCAGTATTTCTTGAGTGGAGACTCTGTGCTTGATATTGTTATCTGTGCAGCCTTTAGAAGCAGAAACTCAGGCCAGGCACTGCAGCTCGCGCCTGGAATCCCAGCACTTTGGGAGGCCCAAGCGGGTGGATCATGAGGTCAGGAGTTCAAGACCAGCCTAACCAACATGGTGAAACCCTGTCTCTACTAAAAATGCAAAAATTAGCCAGACCTGTGGTGCGCACCTGTAATCCCAGCTACTTGTGAGGCTGAGGCAGGAGAATCGCTTGAACCCAGGAGGCAGAGGTTGCAATGACCGGAGATCATGCCACTGCACTTCACCCTAAGCGACAGAGCGAGACTTTGTCTCAAAAGAAAAAGGCCAGGGGTGGTGGTTCATGCCTGTAATCCCAACACTTTGGGAAGCCGAGGTGGGTGGATCACGAAGTCAGGAGATTGAGACCATCCTTGTTAACATGGTGCAACCACATCTCTACTAAAAATACAAAAAATTATCTGGGCGTGGCGGTGTGCACCTGTAGTCCCAGCTACTCGGGAGGCTGAGGCAGGAGAATGGCTTGAACCCAGGAGGTGGAGGCTGCAGGGAGCTGGAATCTCGCCACTGCACTCCAGCCTGGGCAACAGAGCAAGACTCCGTCTCAAAAAAAAAAAAAGAAGTAGAAACTCATAGCCAGGTGCGGTGGCTCACACCTGTAATCCCAGCAGTTTGGGAGGCCCAGGCAGGTGGATCACTTTGAGGTCAGGGCAATATGGTGAAGACCAGCCTGGGCGATATGGCGAAACCCCTTCTCTACTAAAAATACAGAAAATTAGCCGGGCATGGTGGCAGGCACCTGTAATCCCAGCTACTCGGGAGGCTGAGGCAAAAGAATCACTTGAACCCAAGAGGCGGAGGTTGCAGTGAGCCGAGGTCACCTGGGCAACAGAGCAAAACTTTGTCTCAAAATAAAATAAAACAGGCCAGGCACAGTGGCTCACGTCTGTAATCCCAGCACTTTGGGAGGCAGAGGTGGGCGGATCACAAGGCCAGGAGATCAAGACCATCCTGGCTAACATGGTGAACCCCCATCTCTACTAAAAATACAAAAAATTAGCCGGGCGTGGTGGCAGGCGCTTGTAGTCCCAGCTACTCGGGGGGCTGAGGCAGGAGAACAGCACAAACCCAGGAGGCGGAACTTGCAGTGAGCCGAGATTGCGCCACTGCACTCCAGCCTGGGCGACAGAAAAGACTATCTCAAAAAAATAAAAAAGTAAAAATTAATTAATCAATTAAATTAAATTAAACGTGGAAGGGGAAGACCCAGCAGGAGTAAGTTTTGGGAGTAAGAAGGATGAGGAAACAGGGCTTGGGTTTTAGTCTAATTGACTTTGAGGTGACTATTAGATTTCCAGTTGAGGTTATTGGATAGGTAATTATGTTATTCTGACGCTTAAGGGAAAAGTCGCTCTTAAAAGGGGACGCTTGAGTGGCATCAGGTGTAAATTATACCTTTACAAATTATTATTATTATTATTTATTGTTATTATTTTTTTGATGCTCTGTCACCCAGGGTGAAGTGCAGTGGTGTGATCTCAGCTCACTGCAACCTCTATCTCTGGGTTCAAGTGATTCTCATGCCAAGAGTAGACGCAGGGTTTCGCCATGTTGGCCAGGCTAGTCTCGAACTCTTGACCTCAAGTGATCCGCCTGCCTC